CATGTCTCCATTTGAGCTGGAATGATGACATGGTGAAAAATGAAGAAGATGCTTCTGACTAGCCAGTCTTTCACCTGCATGTTTCAAATCATGCAGTTAATGACCTTGTCTTTTGAAAACTAAGCTTTGCCTGAAATAATAAATGATTCAAATATGTTGAAAGACTGTGATTGACAAAAATGCTACGAAAAATAGAGAATACCCTGATCGAGAGACTAAAATCAGTATACCACATCTAAGTTAATAAACACAGAGTATTATATTACTCCTTTGAAATTTCATTGCTGGCACCACCACTACCATAAATGCCATTTGTCCAGACCCATCCACAAGAATGTTAAAAATCAGGTGCAATCACCTGTGAAATTGATCACCAAAATCCAATAGCAATCAGTTTTTTAATTGGCCTTGACTTCAGCTGCAACAGAAACAATTTGTCAAACAGTTAATGGAATTTAAAACACACTTTAGACCTCACCAGCCTGAATATGCTAGTTTCTTGGATCCTGCCAGACCAATGATAGGATTTATTTTTTCCATGCATATTCTATTCTGCAAAATTTGACTGACTGAGGATCAATACCATACCCCATATGAATGGAATCAAATTTTTTGTTGACTTATCATGACCTAGCTCACATCATATGGTTCAGTGCACTTCAACTTTTAAGGTACATTGGTAAGTCTCATCTATGCATAGTTTAATTATCTCACTTAAAAAAACATGTTTTTTACATTTTCTAAGTGGAATAAAAATATATCTAAAAATTCATAACATAAATGAACTTGCCAACAGAAGAGCTTATCAGCAAATCTGATGAAGGATGTGACAGACTGGCAAAAGTATCTTCTGGATTTTCATCTATTATATCAACATCACTGGAGGTAGAACTATCACTCTGAATTATGTTTTCTTTATGTGTAGGAACTAAATTTTCTTGGTGTTCTTCCAACTCTTCAACACAGGAATTTTTAACAGTATCATCATTTTCTACCACACTCATGGAGCTAAAAATATAAGAGCACATTAAAATAAAATAAAAGTTTCAAAACAAAAAAAAGTTCGTAATTAAACTGCAAGTAAAAAATAATAATCAAATCATTATTATTTTTTAAAATTGAAGCCTAGCCTAACCAATATTAATATGACAAGAAAATGTTACCATACTTGCCAACCTATGACACTCAAAAATCAGGAAATTTTTTAAAGAAATCAGGAGATTTTTCACAAGTTAAAAGACTTTTTTAAATGATAAAAGATAGTTTTTAATAATGAATTAACTTAAATAGTACTAATTCTTAAGGCAAGCAAGCACAAAAAAAACCTACACATAAAAACATTTTATTACTGAATCATTTAAGAAAAAAAAAAAAAAAAAAAAAAGACACGTTAATCAGTTTAGCACAAATATATAAACGTGCCATTTTGCTTTCTTTAAGAAAGAAACTTCATATTTGTTCCAGCAATTGCCATGTAGGCCTGCTTTCGCTAATAAAAGTTTTTCTAATTGTCATCACTATATTAGATCTAAATTTATCCTGTTCACAACAAAATGAGAATCCTCTCAACCTGCATTACTATGGGGAATGTCAAGATGCCAAAACAATTCTAGACAGTCACTATATTTTAAAATTCCATCGCACCTTCAGTTTTACAATTAAACTCCACTGGGTTCAATCTTAGCTGATTTTATAACTTCATCCAAGTTCTAATTGTAAACTGCTCATTGTAAACTGCTGTTATGCAGCTGTTGGAACTGTTTCAATTTTCCTCCTTTAGAACTCCTTTCAAGATATAAAAATATCAAGAAGGTGTGCATCCACATTTATTGGTAAGAGATTGCTCCTTTTTCAGCTGCTCATTAAGAGGTGACAGGTGACCTCATAATATGAAATCTGAATTTCTTTCTTAAATGCTGCAACACCAGTCTTCCAAGCCTACCAATATGGTGATTATCGGCACCAAGTGCAGGCATTATCCGAGGCCTGCATTTCTTTGAAGTTTTAATATTAGTTCAATTTAAAGACTGTCAATGTCTTCTAAGTTGAACAAAAGTAAATTAACTCAGTTTCGAAGAATATGGATAAAAAAAGAAACAAAAATTGGATCCAGTTTTGAATCGGTATCATTGCTTCCATCCGTAGATAGGCAGAACGAGCTGTTTAATGCAATCATAACTAAGATTTATTTTCAAAACCGTTTCTTTAACAATTCACCTGTTTTGATTCTTCATCTTGAGTATTTCTAGCGATTTCCATTGGGAACATTTTTCTAAATAAAGCCGCAGCGATCCGTCATTAAGTGAGAGGTTGTGCTCAGTAAAGGCAGAGAACAGACATTATGCATAATACTTTGATCCCTTGTTCCGAAGAAAATACGGGGTATTTTAAAAACACTCTGTTATCCTTGTGTTTTGCGTACGCACATGTTTGAGCACATCCGCCCTCACCATCATCAAAAATCGCAACGACAGCGGTACAATCGCAAATTTATTAATTTTCCTGAGGAACAATGAAGGAAAGCAATGTGTATGATTTTGAAACGTACACGAGTAATCACCTTACTCGCAGACGTAACAAAAGATGATAATTTCTAAAACTATTTCCCTAAGGCACATGTACTCACACAACTCAGGACGAAATGAACGAAATAACTAAAGAACATCCAAATAACATGTCTGTCCCTACATAGGATGCAAAGTATGCCTACCTTTCGTCGCCAATCTTGTGACACACAGCCAATAATGTATAACAGGCGCTATTAAGCTAGGCTAAAATAATCTTTACTGATTCTAAGGCATTTCAATTAATGTAGTAGACTGCATTGCTCCCTGATCTTCTAATTTGATTCAGCTTATTATTTTTTGAAGATTGTTATTATTACAGCAATTTTATAAAAATAAGCTTGAACTTTTGATTATGTCAAAAAGAGCTTCCAATTCTGGAGTTGCCAAAGGATCTACAAAGCGAAACCATGTTTCAATGTCCATTAAACAAAAAGTGGAATTGCTGCAAAAAATGGCATATACGTCTCAAAATTATGCGAGGCGCCACTAAGTAACTGTATATAACAAAAAAAAGAATTTGAATTTTTTGCGGAGCATTTAAACAACTTACATTGAAAGAAAGTTAACAATGTAAACAAATAAATATTAAGCTTTTTTTGTAAATTTTGAACCCTTGCTCAGATTGCTATTTATTTCATAAATTACAATTTCATATTTTTTAATTGTATAATTTCTGCATACCATCTTACCAAATTGAAATTGATGATCTATTATCCGGAAAAATCCCAAATTCAGAATCGCCAAAGTCCCGACCAGTTGGGATTTTGGACTTGGTACTGTATAATGCTGCACATTATTTAATTATGTGAAAATAGTTTGAAATTATAGCTGAAGTTTTTTTTTCCTTTTTTTTTTGAACTTGTATATATTTTTTTCAGAACTTATATATTTGTTTTTCAGCACTGAGAAGAAGTCATGCTATATTTGCTACAACCATTCTGGTGGAAGTTTGAAGAAATATATCTATTTATTTTATTAGATAATTAATAGATACAAGCTGTAAATGAGGCTATGAGTAGCCATAAATGTGATTTTGAAGTCCTCAAACTATATTCTTTTTTAAATGGATTGCTCATGACAATTTTTTATGTTGTATTGCCACCATTCATTTATTTTTAAATACAGACTCATATCATGATCAATAAAGCATACTTTTTTTAATGCCAGGACCCCATTTTGAAAATAATCTACTGTAATTCTGTGGGATATCGATTACATATTTTAATCATTTTTTCAAAAAGCCTGAAAAAAACCCACAGAAGTAGTTAATTTATATCCTTTTAAACAAAAATTAAACTATCCAACTAAGGATTAATGGGGCTACACAAAGCCAAAGGGAAGATTTTGAACGTGTTTTGGTATTACACTTACACATTACTGATGTTAAATCATACTGTTTTATGAGATTTGTTTGTTGAAAATGGCTCCCAGAAAAAGCATATAAGAATTTTTTTTTTTACATACATATTATCATACATTTATTTTAGTATTTTTGGTCAAGATACATGTGTAATACAAGCAATCCTTATTTAATCAAAAACCAATTTATAAAAGAAAAAAGCAACATTATTACGAAGGTTATTTGAAACATAGGTAAAAAGAATAACATATTACCCAGAAATATTAATATTCTATATATTCCAGTTATATGTGAACATATTTAAAAAGATAATGTATTAAAGAAATTGGCTCCAATACTTTAAGCAGTTCCCACACATAAAAACACCATAATTTTTTAATTATTCTAAAAATATTTTCAATAATAACTTTGACTCTTTTTACAGAATTAATTACTTCAAGAAACATGCACTTTGATTGTACAGCTTGTTTATGTACGCACTAATGTACACTAATCGAATCAATGAATGGCGCTGCCTACGCATCTAACTAATCTAAATTTCTATAAGTGATGGTTCAGTTATAATTCTATGATCAAATACTCATTCTAGTTTTAAAAAGATTTTATTAAAATACTAAACAAATTAATCTAATCTAGAAGCTAGAATCATATCTAATGTTACATCTCATGTGCAGCGTTCGAGCTGCATCATAACAAATCGAAAGTCAAGTTCTGACTGTTGCCATTCTGAGGCAGAGAAAAGTTTGTTTCTAATGAAACCAGAACATCAGCAGAGTGAAAGTTTCTAGTCAAACCGGAACATTCCGGCCCCTGTTGGACAATTGTCCAACATCATTTGGAAATGGGAGTTTAACCTCATATCCCTTTTCTTTAAATTTGATAGTACTGTTAAAATTCTCTAAAATGTCATTATCTATTTTACATACACCTTCCCTTGTTCAATTCCCAATGCTTCTAATTCCCAAAATTGCTTTAACTGTGTTGAGACCAATTTGTCGTCAAAAATAATGTCCATGTTAAACATCACCGTAGAATCAATACGGCCTGAGGCACATCCATATGATCGTAAGTTAGATTCGCATTGGTGGTCAGTGTAGAATGTTCGCCTGCCATGCAGGGGCCCGAGTTGATTCCCAGCGATGCCACAAAAGGTTACGTCGCACTAAGTACACTAATCGAATCAACGAATGCCCTGCTATGCATCTAATTAACTAAATTGCCACATCTAAATTTCTATAAGTGGTGGTTTAGTTATAATCTAGATCAATACTCAATCTATTTTAAGGATTATTAACAATCTAACAAATAATCTAATCTAGAATCTAATCAAACTAATGTTAATCTCATGTGCAGCGTTCGAGATGCGTCTAACAACGAAAGTCAGTTCAACTGTTGCCATTCCGAGCAGAAAAGTTTGTTTTAATGAAACCGGAACATCAGCAGAGGAAGTTCTGCAAACCGGAACTTCCGCCCCTGTGGACAAGTGTCCAACATCATTTGGAATGGGAGTTTACCTCATATCCTTTTCTTAATTTATAGTACTGTTAAAATTCTCTAAAATTAATTATCTTTTATACTTTCCTCCCTTTTCAATCCAAACTGCTTTAACTGTGTAGACCAATGTCGTTACATAATGTCCATGTTTAACAATTCACCGCTAGAATCAATCCGGCCTTGAAGGCACCATCCAAATATGGATTCGTAAGTATGGATTAGCATTGGTGGTTCAGTGGTAGAATGTTCGCCTGCCATGCAGGCGGCCCGAGTTCGATTCCCAGCCGATGCACCAAAAATGTTTACGTACGCACTAATGTACACTAATCGAATCAACGAATGGCGCTGCATATGCATCTAACTATGAATCTAAATGCCACATCTAAATTTCTATAAGTGGTGGTTTAGTTATAATTCTATGAACACAATATCAATCTAGTTTAAAAGGATTTTACAACTAAACAATATCTAACTAATCAGAATCCATCTAATGTTACATTCAGTGCACGTTCGAGCGCGTAAACAATCGAAAGTCAAGTTCTAACTGTTGCCATTCCGAGGCAGAGAAAAGTTTGTTTCTAATGAAA